AATAAGCCTTTTAGCACCTATCTAGAGTTGAGGGTATCTAACTACTTCCTGGTTTGAATTTGTGAGTGGTTTGCCTTGGCCTTGGTGGGTCACAGCTGAAATCTGTCCTGCTGGTAGTATCTCTAAACAGCCTCATGGTACCTACTCTGAGCTTTTCTCAAGTTTAGCAGAAGTCCTGGCTGCTGAGTTCCTGTTGTACAGGCTTGATACTTTTTTTTTTTTTTTTTTGGTCTTTTTTTGAGACAGGGTCTCCCTGTAACCCCAACTAGCCTGAAACTCACAGAGATCCACTGGCCTCTGCCTCCCAAGTGCTTGGACAGGCTTGGTACTTTTAAGATAGAATGTTGTATCTTGACATCTTTAAAAAGAAAGTCAAGGGGCTGGAGAGATGGCTCAGCAGTTAAGAGCACTGACTACTCTTGCAGAGGACCCAGGTTCAATTCCCAGCACCCACATGGAGGCTATGAACTGTCCGTAACTCCAGTTCCTGGGGAATCTGAAGCCCTCTTCTGACCTCCGCGGCATTGCACAACACGGGTGCACTCACATACATGCAGGCAATACACTCATACACATAAAATTAAAAAAATAATAAAAATATTAAGAAAGTCAATCTAGACCAGAGGATCCCCCAGGTTTGATGGTGTAGCCAGCTAGCCACTTAAGCAGATCGGGCTTTTTCCTGCAATTTCTTCCCCAATGGAGTTCACGGAGGCTGTGAGGTACAGTAACCTGGGATAGTGGGGGCCTAATGCCAGAGCAGCTATAACAGAAGTATCAGTGAGCACATAGAGGACCCTGACTGGGGCCAGGCTCAGAGCTTGGCTCATCACCTGCATGGTTCCATTTACTCTCCAGAACAACTATGGAATGAAGGGGCTACTGTTCCCACTTGAAACACAGAGGAGCAGAGCAGCTTGTCTAAAGTCATAGGTTGATTAGGGCTCTCCATCTGCCTGCAACTCTTAGTCACTGTGCTGTGTTCCGTTTCACAAGTGAGGCAGCAGTGAAACACATCAAACACTGGGTCCGTAACCTCACTTGCTTTGTAAAAACTTGGAAGTCTCCAGGCTTGGGTGACATAGAAGCCCGAAAGCCTGTTAAGAAAGGATGTTCTCAGTGTATAAAAATGTGCTTCGGATGTCACACAGGAAGGTAAGAGAGTGCTGGGGCGCTCTACCAGTTTCAGTACATTTGGACTCTTGGGAAGCTTGGCCCCATACCAAGGAGATATAACCACCCACCTTCTTTTTGTATTTTTTTTAATTGTTTGAGAATTTTATACATGCATATAATGTATTTTGATAAAGTCTACTCCTTATTCCTTCCCCTACAACTCCTCCTCTACTCTCTTCACCACTGCTCGCTCCCAATTTCCAATTTCATGCCCCCCCCAAGTCCATTTACTGCTTCTAGTATATGTGTAATATATGTGTAGAGTCATATGTGGAGCACAGTAGCTTCTCAGAGACCACTTCTTTGAAGAAAAGTGACTCTCCCTCCCCCAGCAGCCATCAGCTGCCAATAGCTTCCTCACTAGGGGTGGGGTTTTTCTGCCCATCTCCCCTCTCTATGCTGGGATTTTGTGTGGTTTGATCTTGTGTAGGTTTTGTGTATGCAGTCGCAGCCACTGTTCACATGCGTAACCACCCTGTTGTGTCCAGAAAGCACTGTTTATCTCCAACCCTTATATGGGCAGTTTTTAAAAAAAGATGAACCAGGTATGGTGGCACATGCCTTTAATCCCAGCACTTAGGAGGCAGAGGCAGGCAAATCTCTGTGAGATAGAGGCCACCTTGGTCTTCATAGTGAGTTCCAAGCCAACTGAGGCCACAGGGAGACCCTGTCTCAAAACAAACAAACAAACAAACAAAAAACAAAGTAAAAAGATAACACTTGAAGGCTAGGGGTAGTTCAGTGGTAGAGTACTTGGCAGCATGTGTAAGGGACCTGGGTTCAGCTCCCAACACTGTAAACAGACAAATGAATAAATAAGCCAGAACTCTATGAACAGTAATTAGTCTTGTCAATTTTGGTTCTCTTCAGAGCAAGACTTGGTAACATGGCAGGTTAAGGTGTGGATTTTGCTGTAGTGATTTGCTTAGGAATGTTATTTTTCTCTTCCTTTGTGTGAGCAGTGCTCCTATGACGCTGAGAGATTTGGAGCCACCAGAAGCTGGATAGAATGAGTCTAGAAAGTTTCTTAGTTCCTTTTTGAATGACACCTATTTTCCCTTTTTCTTTAGGATTTGGTCAACACTGGACTCAGCACTTTCTTTTTCTTTATTGCCTCAATTGTATTGGCTGCTTTAAACCACAAAACCGGAGCAGAGATTGCTGCTGTGGTAAGTGAACTGGACTGGTCCAAATGCAGGCTAATTTCGCACCTCCCAAGACTTGCTCTCCTCTGTCCCCTGGCATGTATCTTATGATCCTCCTTTAGTGATTCCTTTCCTGGTCATGGTCAATCAAGGGATTGGGGAGGGAGAGGTCTCTATAATAGAACGGGTTCACTCCTCATGCTCTGTGTTTTTGTCGTTGATTTATAAGGACCATGTATCACTTGAAATGGGTGGGGGTGGATAAGAGACTTTAAAAACTACTAACCTGGGGCCAGCAAGATGGCACAGCAGGTAAAGGCACTTGCTGCCAAGCCTGATGGCCTGAGTTCCATCCCTGTGTCTCTCTCACGTGGTGGAAGGAGAGAACTGATTCCCACAGATTGTCCTCTGAGACCTCCACCTGTGTGTTGTAGTATACCACTCTCACACAAACAGGTGTACACTAAAAGAGATGAATAAATGTAATACATTTTTTGTTTGTTGTTTGAGACAGGGTTTCACTATGTAAAGTTCCAGGCTGGCCTGAAAATGCCTGTGTAGACCAGGCTGCCTCATCCTCTGTCTGTGAAGTGCTGGGACTAAAGGAATGTGTCATCTCACTCAGACTATAATAAACCGTTTTTTAGTTTTTTTAAAACTGGCTGCTCTTCCAGGGCCACTCAGGAGATGCATCAAACCTGACTAAATAATTAAAACTCCGCTGAGTCTCACCTGAAGCTGCCTGGGTATGAGGCGGCAGGAGGCACCAGGGCTGTGATGCGGCGGAGCATGGGCTCTGTGGCTTCATGTGGGCGATACATGAGAGACTCTAATATTCTTTCTATATCATATTTTGTCTACTTTATATTTTCACCTGTGGGACTAATGGCCGTGAATTACATCCAGTAAAAGTGGTACTTTTGTGATTTAAAAAAAAAAAAAAACCAGCGGGGGGAGGCACCCTTGGTGGTACATACCTGTAATCCCGGAACTCAGGAGGCAAGAGGATTGCCATAAATTTGACATCCTGGTCCACATAGAGCATTCCTAGCCAGCCAGGGCTACATAGTGAGACTGTCTCAAAATAATATAACAACAATAATATTAATAATTTTTAAAAGAAATAATGGGCTGGGGGGGTGGTCTCAGTGGATAAAGCGCTTGCCAGCATGCATGAGGACCTGAGTTTGGATCACCAGAACCCATGTGACGTTGGATGCAGTAGCAGGTACATTTGTAATCCCAGTGCTCCTAAGGCAAGATGGAGAGAGGAGACTCCCTGGAGCTCACGGGCCAGCTAGCTGGTGTAGACAAGCTTCCAACAAGAAGAAACCCTGCCTCAAACAAGGTGGAAGGAGAGGACTGACACCCAAGGTTGTCTTCTGCCCTTCACATGCACATTGTGACACACATGTACCTACACTCACACAAATACCTGCATGCATATACACACACATCGTGCACACACAGAGATTAAATAAATAAAAATCAAAAGATTTTAGAAGACCTCTTTAGTTGTCCTCAGGTCAAGCTGGAGTTTCTTTGGGTCATATGACTAGCACTTGAACCAGATAATCACTGTGCATTGAACAAGGTTGGGAATGGGATATGGCTGGAAGGGACTGCACATAGCTTGGGTCCCTGTGATGACACTCAGCTTCAGGGCACATAAGCAAGGGTAACTGTGCCTGTATATTTTAGATATTTGGCTTCTTGGCAACAGCGGCCTATGCAGTGAGCACCTTCCTGGCTGTGCAGAAATGGAGACTCAGCCTCCGCCAGCAGAGCACTAATGACTACATCCGAGCTCGCACCGAGTCCAGAGATGTGGACAGTCGCCCTGAGATCCAGCGCCTGGACACATGAGAACCTACCAGAGTCCTCTTCCCTCTGCCCTCATGTTCATTCTTCCAATCAAGTTTTCTTTCTCTCAGCACGTCAGATCCAGTTTTTGTGTGATACAGTTGAATTTTGTCTTATTTGATAAAAATTCACTTTGGGGAAGGGTATCTAAAGTGGCCCAGTGACTGATCTGTGGTGGGCTGGAAAGGCCCAGGTCCTCCAACATTGGGTGGCTGTGGGAACAGCTGGCCTCACTGACTGCTTATATCCACTCCAGGTCTTAGCTGTCCTCATCTGACTCTGAGCCACCCTGTCATGTGTATTTATGATGAGTCAAAACTTTAGGTTAAATGGGGCTGCTAAGAAGGGAACTGCCAAAGAAAGGTACACAGCTGGAACAGCCTGTATGGTTCTTGGGCAGCTCCCTGGTGTGCTGTGGGTGGGTGTTAAGTCTGGCTGGCTGGATCCACCCTCTTTGTCTTCCATGCCTGGGGCATCCAGATGCCCAGTGTGACTCTGAGGGGCTTGGCAAATGGATGTGCTCCTGGAGCCTCCTTGCTGAGCCTATCTGTTACAGGACAAGAAAACATGGTGTCCTGTGGGAACAGCTCCATGGGACCACTGACTCATGGGTGTGAATGACCATGTGTGTCTCCTACCCTGCTGAGAAATCACTTGATTCTTCCTCAGATGAATTACCTTCCTGGGTCCCGTATTTGTTCCCAGGAATATAGGGACCATCTTGTTTGCCAGTCTCCTGCCTGCCCTACATACCTTGAGGCTGAGTTGCAGTTTCTGCAGTTTTACCTTCTCAGGTGAAACCTGCAAAAGAAACAGTTGAACATTCTTCCACCAGCCGAAGCACTTGAGGAGTTGCTGGCCTCATGGACCACACATGTGTGTCGTGTGTGTGTGTGTGTGTGTGTGTGTGTGTGTGTGTGTGTGACAAAGCGGCACACTCAAGCAGAGCCTCTATTTTATGGACATGTGCTAATTTTCTAAATGCCTGAGAAGAGTTCTAAAGTGACTCTCAGTTTGTCTAGGATTTGAAAATACTTGAATTTGCACGAGGACACATCCTTCCATGGATGTTTCAAGAGGCATTGTTGTCACTTTTGGTGCCTGAGTGTCATCACTATAAGCATCAGTCTTGGAACGTGTCGAAAATCCTAGTTACATAAGGCTTTTTATTGGTTCTTGATAAAGTGAAGATTATTTTTGTGGTGAATGAGTTAAGCCCCTATGATGCTGTAGTTTTGTTGTTTTTAGAGACTAATCTTTTTGGAAAATTGTTTTAACATGTCAGGTTCCCACTCTGCACTGTTAATGTTTACAGACCTCACTGTAGCTCTACTATTTTGTGTATAGTTAGCCCTCACCAAGGAAATGACCCTGCTGGTGGGAAGATTTTGCAGTAGAATGAACCCCTGCTGTTTTGTGTTGAGGACTATTTACAGCCTGAGCAGTGTCCTTTGTAGTACATAACCTGGAAAGTTGGTGGCAATGTTGGGGGAGGCAAGTCTGTGAGGAGGCGCCCCTGTGCACTGTGGTTTGCATTCTTTAGGGAAGAGCAGCGTTGTATGGTTTAGTAGCAGTGAGGGGCTATTGGTAACGCCATGAGGCTGGGAGTCTACAGGAAATGGTATCAGGCTGTATTTGCTGAGGGACAGGGCTAGGGACTGGCTCCCTAAACCCAACATCCAGTGCAATCTGGTTCTGCTGCAGTTCCAGGTGCCTGTAGCCAAGGTCACATGTTTAGAGGCTGACCCAGCTACTTTGGTGATAACTCCCCCTCCACCCCCCTTCTCCTCTGAGGGCAGCCTGGACCTGGCCCCAGGCCCACCTCCTGATAGAGAGGCCTCTCTAAGCATGCTGTGAGTCAACACACCTCGTGCTTTACCAACTTTGAACCTGTTATATGTGGTGATGCGGGGAAGCAGATGACATCTGGATTTTATCTGTTCCTTTTACATAGTTATTTTGCATTTTCTGAGTGTGTCTGCATAATCAAAATTGGGCTTCTCTCCCTCTGAAAATTCCATTTAAAATAGAGTTGCAAAGACTCGGCCTGCATCATATGGGACCCACTTGGAAGGCCCACCCTGAGCTTTATCAGAAATCTGCTGGGAGTCATATGACCGGGCCTCAGTAAAAGGCTACCTTTGAAGTGAGCTGGAGAAAAGAACCATTCAGGCAGGATTGTTGCCCAAGTATATCCAGGTCACTTCAATAAAACCATTTTATCATCTGGTGAAAGGAGACTGTTGATTGGCCTTCTGAAGAAGTGTTGTCAGCTGAAAGAAATAATCTTTGAGGCCCATCAATAGCGTGTATGCAGAGAGATGATAAAAGTGGTGTCCTCTTATGGCCAGAGACTTAGGAGTAATTTGCATCTTAGTGATAGAATCTTTGGAATTATTTATGTCCTAGTAACTAATATCCTTTGTGCTATGAAGCTTCCCCATGACTTTTGTATATGTGTTTGCTTGTGCTATTTAACTAGCTCCCAGAGAACCAGAAGTGGCTGTACACTTTTTAATCAGCGTAGTGAACAGCTCTGTATCTCCTCCTATACAACCAGTGTGGTGAGGAAAAATCATGAAGGGAATATGGTTATTAATGGTGATTGTAAAGACACCTACATTTTTCTTATGGTGCCTCTGTGTACAAACAAGACAATTTAGATTCAGGGTCTTGAGGACCTTGCAAATTGAAGGAAGCATAATTTTATCTTTAGTAATTCTACTATGAACTGATGTCACTTAGGTTTAGGGTATTTTAAGGCAACCTTACCTTTCCTGCAGGGATGAATTGACTCTCACAGTTGGAGTAAAACTTGGAACTGTACTTGCTGGGAACATCTGGTATGTTCCTGGAGATGTAGCATTTGGTGATTTTGATAGATGCAAACACTTCAGAGAAAGTATATTTTGGCACTGTTTTGGTTGGCTGGGTGGGCCCCCATCCCTTCACAATGCCCTTTGCCTTTCATATGGAGAAACTGCCGCCAAGAAAACCTAGACACTTGTTGGCTCCTAGAAAAGGCAAACGCAGTAATGAGTTAAAATTTCTTCATAAAAGTTCTGTTTAAAGTAGACAGCCATGCAGGAGAGATTACTTTTGTCTATAGAAAAAGCAAGAACACAGTAGGCTGCTCATGCCCAGTGCCCACCACTTTCTTAGCCAAAACATTAGAGTGGGCAGACCCTGACCACGGAGAAACTGTCGAGGCCCACCAGACTCTGAGCACTTGGCCCTGGGGTCCTTTTATAGGCTAGACTACTCACACCTGTGGGCAGGCCTAGTGTGCCTGGTGCCTGGCTTTTACCCTGTGCTAGATGCTTCTGGAGGGACCTTCATTGTTCAATTGAAAACATTCCTTCTCTTTTCAAGTTTGCAGTGTCCTCCATCTTTTTTGAAGTTTTTCTAGTGATTTAGACTTGGGTTAGCCACAGGCAATCTTAGAGGAAATGGAGGCTTGACTCTTCTCCGTACATGTCTGTGAATTCTTGCTTGCCATGAGTGAGTCTTGGCTAACCCTGTGTGTGGCTGAAGCTTACCTCTTCTCAGATTCCCATAGATTTCGAATGTCCTGTTTGGAGGAAATGTCTCCCTGGTCTGTGAGGAAGCCTGAGGACTAATCCCTACCCATGCCAGATTCCCTATGGAGAGTCTTGGGAGCAGGGAAATATGTTCAATTTAGTGATAATGTATATAGTTCTTGCTCTGCCTTCTGTTCAAAATACAGAGCAGTCACAAGGTCATTGTACCTCTGCCTGATTGCCTTTTTCTCTGGATGTCATCTACATAGCAACAGTGACATTAAACAGGGAGCAGAAAGAGGTTTGTACTTTCTAGACCAAGAATGCTAGCTGTTTCTTATGAGCAGAATGAAAAAGTTGCTTTTTGCTTTAAGGATGGCTTCTAGCATGCAGTCTCCAGATACTCTTTTAGATCCTCTTAAGAGTCCAGCATTTCTCTCTTCCCTGGCCTGATTTTATCAGCACCTGCTCCTAGGACCAGTTACACAGGAGTCTGGTGGGCATTTGAGGTTTGCATAATAGAGGTCTATGAGAGAAGGAGGAAGAAGAGGAGGAGGAGGTGGTGGAAGGTAGCAGTGGCCTTGATTGGCATTCCATGTGCTCATAACCCCAGACTGCCCTGGAAACATGTCTTTGATTAATTACCTTTTTTTCAGAAGGGTGAGGGCAGGGCAGATGCTCCAAAATTAACTTGAGGGTAAGAATTGTGTGTGGGAGATCACCATCTCTCAGCACTGGGTCTGAGCAGGTGACAGATCTGGCTCAGGTGCACTCCAGGCAGAGTGAAGACCTAACAGACCTACGTTCTTACTTTGTAAACTTTCCTAACTCCATAAAACTTTGTATCTTCTCTGTTCCACAGTTACTTTAATAATCATAAGATCTGTCTGGTTGAAAAAGTCATTTGAAATATTTAATTTTTAAATGTTTTATTAGAAACTCTTTTGTGTGTTTTGTTTCTTTTGAGACAGGGTCTCCCTGTAGTCCCAGCTGGCCTGGAACTCAGTAAGTAGACCAGGCTAGCCTCAATCTCACAGAGATCTGCCTGCCTCTGCTTCCTGCTGGGATTAAAGGCATGAACCACCACACCGGGCTAGAAACTGTTTCTGAAAGAAAGTACCTTCAGTATGTTAGGTCTAGAATTTTCTTCTGAAAGGGAATGCTCCATTGAACTACTTGTTGGTCAGTGGCATTGAATATAACTTCCCAACCTTTGAGATTTTTTTTTCCTTTCTAGTTTTTCCTATTGCAAAAACCAAAGAGGAAGGGGAGAGGGGAGGGAAAGACCTATAAACCCACTGAGCTCGAGGCACTAGCCACTTGCCTAGGATCAAGTTTAGGTTGTAGGTCCTTGAAGAGCATACCTGTATTATCAGGTTAGCTTGTCACCCTTTTTACTGAGACTTTAATTCAGGTGAGCCTTTGGTTAAGGGTTAATATCACTTGGACTCTGGTGAGCTAGTGCAACTTTTATGGTTATAATTATTATGGTAAGAGTATGTCTGGAGGCACCTTAATCAGCTTTGTTAATGGGATGGAGGATAGAGCCTAGAGGTTTTCTTTTTTATAATTGTGCCTGAAAGGAGAGATGCCATGAAGTAAGATTCTGAGGATGACTGTCATTCCCAAAGCTGTCATCCAAGTTGCTTTGGATGCTGCTGCTTGCACTCCAGCAGGAAGTACCCTGACTCTCTTTTACATAGAAAAGCCATGGAAGGAATGGCGTGAAATGAGGACAGTGAGGAAAACTTGGCCCCCACTCCCACTTGAGGCAGGGACAGGCCTGCCTGACAGCTGCTTCCCTCCACGAACCCTGCTTTGCTTTCCTTTTACAGAATGGATTCAGCAAGTTTCAAAGCTCTCTTCCCCTTTGTGGAAATGAGGAGGACAAGCACTCAGGACTTAAGGAGTGGCTGGGCCAAGTGCTAAAGAGGGCGAAAGATGGGCCATTGGCTGGGATAGTACTCCACACCAACCCACCCCCACCAAGGGGCTGGCCTGGCCCCAACTTGTTCACTCCTAACCCATTAAAAATTAATTTTCAAATCATCATGAAATTGACCCACTTACCTAAAATCATTGCTTTTTTATAACTTGATGTTGTTAGGCGTGGTTCTGTCTGGAGGACTGCTAGGGAATCAGTCTGTCTTGAAGTTTGTAGGGGTTTAGGAACCCATGGCAGAAACACTAAGATATTTATTACAGGTCTGTCTCTATATTTTTTTTTTTGATAGGCAATTCTGTCTTTGTATATTTTAAGACAAATAATCACTTCACCTTTGGTGCCTTCCATGTGTCACATACGCACTCTTGTCAGTCATGGAATTGGGGGAAAAAGGATGTACATTCAGTTAAAACAGATAACACTATTTTTGTAGCATGATTTTAGATTGTGTCCTTTTAATATTGCTTTCAATGCTGGTCTTGGCATTTGGGCCATTTTTCTTTTAAACTTCCTATGAACTGTTCAAAAGAAGAAGAAAAAAAAAAAATCCCCCAGCTACTCTTGTGCTGCATTCTCCCCACATCACATTTCTACTGATTTAATCTGAGAGTCAGAGGATGGTTCTATTAAAAAAAAAAATCAGTTAGTATAACTGTATTTGGCATCATTTGAGCATTTATTAGATTTGATGAGCAGCTGCTCACCTCCAACAGTAAGAAAGTGGTCCCATATTTTAAGAGTATCATCCGTATTCTGACTTCTGTTTGCTGGATTTGTCTGACGTGGAGAGCCTGTGTCTGGTTCCTTGCCCTGCTACCCTGGCCAGCCTCAGGCTATTCTCTGGCCCATCTTCCAGGATGGGCTAAGTGTCACCTGCTTCTTGGGAGGAACTCAGCCCAGCTGTGGCCTTACCTCCCACTGGGATTTCAGTTAGGGCTATGGATGCCCTTGGTGGGCTTATGGGTGGCTTGAATGCAGTAGATGCCCTGCTGTGGGGAGCTGGATGAAGTCAGGTATAGGGCAACCTAGGTGCCCCTTCTGTTTTCCTGGTCCTGTACTGCCAACTTGTCTGGTCAGGGAAAACTAGCTAAGCCATTGCTGAATGAAGGTACGGACTTTCTGAAACATGACATTGTAGCTCTTTATTTTTGTCCTTTTGAAGAGTAACAACATGTAATTCTGTGGTAACAAAAGAAGTCATCAGGTAGCTAAGTGACAACTTTCTGTTAGGATGGGCCACTGGCACTTCAACCAGTGGCTCTTTTGGGAGAGAGTGTCAATAGTTATCACATTCTGTTTCTAAAGTCTGTTTCTATTTTATTTTTTTGAGACAGGGTCTTGCTAGGTATCCCTGGTCAGTCTGAAACTCAACTATGTAAGGCCAGGCTGGTTTCTTAACCTGTAGCAATCTTCCTGCCTCTTCATCTTAAATGCTGGGACACAGAAATGTGTCACCACACCCAGCTGAAGTTTGTTTCTTTGGGGAAGTTTATAGACATGGCTGTGGGCATTCCAAGATGAAAGCCATTGAGTAAACTTTGGTCCCTCTGACATGACCATCATTGGGAGGGCCTCCTCTGGCCCTTACTGGCTCTCATGTTTGACCCTGTGTTTTGACTGGTGTGGGAGCCCCATGGCATTTGCTCCCATTGATTTGTCCCTGACAACAGACAAAGCCTCACACTGCCCTCAGTCTCCCCACTTTCTTTTGAAGGACCAATTTTTCATGGTACTTGTCTTGTTTTCATAGTGTTCAAATCTGTATTTTTGTATGTAGAGGGAAATAATTTTCTCAACACTAATCGCTAATATTGTATTAAATTGTTGTGAAGGAGTTCTTGTTTAATAAATGGACATGTAAAAATGTGTTGTCTCTTCTCTCCTTGCCTCTCCTGCCTCCAAAGGCTATGGGTTCAGCTTCTGCAACAGGCTTGCTCTGTAGAAGTGATCTAGAGCCACAGTCTACAGGCTATGAACAGACTGTGTAGTACCAGTTGTGCCAGGCTGCCAGGGTAGGGCACACATGTTTTCAGTACACATTCTGTGACAATGTGCAGGAATGCCTTACTTCTTCTTGTGAGCCTGGGCCAGAATGCTGACCAGAGTCTCTAGCTTCCAAAAACTGTGAAGCCATAGGTCCTGGCTGCCGTGGAATACCATCCTACGTGAGAAGGCCCTAGGCCAGCCACTTACACTGGCCACATGTTACCCTAGTGCTTTGCTGCTGAGATTCAGACTGTCAGGAGTCACTGTCTCCGATTTGTGTTAAAGCATGCAGTTACTGTACAGTGGCAGATGAATTTTTTCAGGCAGACACACTCTAAGCAGTTTGTTTTAATCCATTATATGGTTTTTGATTCACATGCAGGATATAAGGTTACAAATGCCCAAAACATGGACCCAGAATCTGGCTCATTCATGGGGCCTCTTCAGTCACAGAAAACGCCATTTGTTTTGTTGCTTTTGTATAAAAAAATTATAAAAAGCTAGAAAACCCCACCAAAGATATATACACAATCTAAATCCCAAAGTGAGCACAGGCCCATCTCATCTTTCATGAGGGGCTCAGTAGACCTACCTGGGTGTCCTTAGTGTTCCCAGAACTCTGGACCCCAGGAAGAGAGGGTTTGGCCAGGCCTGCCCAGCCACCGGTGACTTGGTTACTGCCACTTCTGCAGTGGTCGGCTTCCTCTGTGTGCTGGCCCTGGTAACAAGCCTATAGGCTCTTTTCTGAAGGGGTCTCGGACCCAGAACAGAAAACTTGCTTAGGTTAGATTTGTCCCTGTTTCTCAGTGAGGAGGGAACTTTGACAAAGATTCCTGAAAGTATCTCCTCAACAAAGTGCAGATGTGAATGGAGCACTCCACGCAGGGACCACTGGAGCCGTGAGGGTCTGTCCTGCCATGGTTTCTGTTAGTGAAACAGACTCACCCCAGCCCCATGCGGCCACCTGAACAGTGATTCGGCTCCATGTGATGTGTTTGCTTGTTTGGGGCAGTGAGGTTAAAGAGCTCAAGATCTATAGGATAGAAAATGGAGAAGGTAGAATATTCCAGATGTGTTGGTTCAGCAGTGCTAAACCAACAGGGACAGTTTTGAATGTGAGGCTCAGGAGCATAATCTTGAGGTTGCAGGAGACCGAGGCTCCTCAGCCTCCTCTCCTGTGCATATCCCCTGCCATGCTTCTGCAGCCCTGTCAGGAAGGTACAGGTGAAAGGCTGCGTGGCTCGGGTCTTCAGGTACATACAGGCCTCAGTCAGAGTCGGAGTCAGAGTTGGAATTCTGTTCTGAAAGGAAAGTACAGAGGACACTGGCATCAATCTCTGGATGGTGGGGCCTTGGGGCACAAGTCGGGGTAGGAGTGCCTCTAAGCCTAAAGCCCAAATGCCTCCTCCCCAAGGGGTTCAGGCAAGCCTAGGAATCCCCACCTGGGGATGTCAAAGTTGTACACCTGCACCCCTGTCCCCATCTGCCCCATTCAGCTGGGAAAGATGAAGACAGCTATTTTCATTTTAAAAATTTATTATTTTTGTTTTCTGTGTTGAGTGTTTTGTACAAATGTAAGTACACCTTTATCATACAGTGGCCTTAGAGACCAGAAGAGGATGTCAAATCCCCTGAAACAAGTTACAGATGGTTCTTAGCTACCATGTAGAAGCTAGGAACTGAACTAATCCTTTGCAAAAGCAGCCAGTGCTTTAATCCTCTGAGCCATCTCTTCAACCCAACAGCAACTTTCTTGTCCCCAAACTAAAGTACACTGGAACATCAGCAAGCTTTTATTTTTCTTTTTGGTAAAGCATTTTATAGGTTTGGCTGTTTATAGATCCTTATTTTGTATTATCACAAGCAGTTTTATCCTGCTAAGGGCCTGTCAGTGATGAAGATTATTTTATAGAACCGTCTGTGACCTCCCACCTCAGAAAGGCAAAGCACCACAGTCCTCCTGCCTGACTGGTACTAGTTGCTATTTTTTGATGGTTGTCACTTCCTGGCCAGCCCTGACTCCTAGGTGGTCTTTCCACTGGTGTTTCATGGACAAGCTTGGAGCAGGGCAAGGATGGAAACCTCATCAAGCCCTCACTCCTCTTACCCTTCAGCCAGGGCTGCATAGGAAAGAGTAGAGTTTGCTAGATATTCACATCTAGCATACAGGCCAAGAATACTTTCATTACAAAATAGACTTTTACATTTTATATATGTATGCATAAATTTCTCTAAATATCTCATAGAAACAAAATATTCAAAAAACATGTTTCCATGGACACGTACACTGACTGCTGAGCTGGCTGGCTGGCATTTGCCACAGGCCCAAAGGCTCAAGGACATCTAGGAACATTTACCCTCATGTTTGCCAGAGTGGGAAAAATGAGCATTCTGGAATGGCATTCATTTAACAGAGGGACAGTGTTTGGGACTGACACCCCCCTCCACCATGGGAAGCTGGTGGTTCCTAAACCTAACCAGCTGGGTCCTACCTCACATGCTTAACATTCTGAAGGGAAAGCTCTCAAATCCAAGGCTGGACCCCAGAGCACTCCTTTGTCTGATTGCTCAGTCACGGCACTACTGGCTTGCTCCAGAGAAGTATCTGGCCTAGGTAAGAGCACCTGCTCTGTATCCTTCTGTCCTTTCCCTCCACCTGCCCATTTCTGCCAGCACAGTCTGACACATCTGTCAAGATCCAGCTCCAGGGCCACCTTCAGGAGTCGGGCCTGGCTGGTACACAGGGGGCCTAACCTCTGCTGCTGTAGATAACAAAATTTTGTTACACTTGTCATCCATCTGGTGCCATTCCCTGACCCATTTCTGTTCTTTGAGGTGGCACGTACCCTGCTGTGTCCAGGTCACTCCTGCCTGGGCTGTGGGCTTCCCCCACTCAAAAATCTTGCCTACCATGTGTACCCCTAGCTTGACAAATAAGTGGCCTTAGCAGGGGTAACACAAGGTCAAGGGGATCAGGGACACCAGGGTAGGGTAAGTTTGGTGCTGAGCTAACCAGTAGCATAGGTAGTAGTCTCCATGGAGTTGAGGGAATGAGGCAGACAAATGGCCAGTGGGGGCTAGGGGCAGGGAGGTAGACAGATGGCTCTGCAGTTAAGAGCACTGGCTGCTCTTGCAGAGGACCCAGGTTTGGTTCTTAGAGCCCACATGGCAGCTAACAACTGTCTACAACTCCAGTTCCAGGGGTCTGACACTCTCTTCTGGCCTCCTTGGGCATTGCCTGCACAGGTGTGTTTACATACATGCAGGCAAAGCTTTCATACACATAAAATAAAAATCAATTTTAAAGGAAGAAATAGCCAGTGGGCCTTAGAGCCGAAGTGGAGAAATTGTATCCCAAGTCAGCTCCTCCACCTGCTCTACTCCTCTGGGTTAGGGATTCTGGGAAGGAGGGCAGGCCAAACCATCTGTAGTATCTCCTGACAAACCTTTATAGGGCCCCTGCCACATTCCTGCCCATCCCAGGGCACAAGTTCAAGATGTGACCATTGGTATGGCAGACAGAAAAACCAGCCTTCCAACTTTGAGCTTGTTTTCAAATCAGATAACAGGCATGGTGACCTCTCTGAGCTGTAGGCCTGGCTTCAGGGACCAGGTGCCTGGTGCACTTTCTGTGGAAATAAAATCCAAACAAACCAGGCATGGTAGCTTACACCCATAATCCCAGCACTTGGGAGGCGGAAGAACAGTTGCCATGAATTTGAGGCCAGCCTGGGCTACACAATGAGTTCTGGACCAGTCTGAACTACGGAGTCTCAAAAACAAAACAAAAAACTCAAAATCCAAGCCCAACAACTGTGCCTGCACTTGTGTGAGGGCTGAGGGCCTCCAGACAGGTAAGGAAAGGGGAGCCTGGGACAAGGCAAGTAACCATGGTGGGTCCCAATGGACTGGTGTCCTGATGTGACTGGCTGCCCTGGCAGGCACTGGGGGGCCTTAAAAGGCCAGAAGCACAAGCATGCACTCAACTTAATGCTCCTGCAAAGCTGAAGCCCTGACTGGCCCTGACAGATGGGTGAAGAGATATGATAGCTAGGCTGTAAAACACTCCCTGCTTCTTCAGTTTGGTGTCTCCAGGGAAGGTCAGAGCCTTGCAGTGATCAGCCAGGTTCCTCAGCAGAAACCCTTCAGAATGGCCACTCACCTTCTGTCCTGTGGACTGTGGTCTCGTTTGCAGAATCACCTTGCTTCAGGAATTTGGCCACTTCATTAAAGATCAGGTAGAAGTCAATTGCAAACACGATGGTGGCAAAGAAGCCAAAAACCTATGGGACAGATGGAGGGCATAGGGGAGATGGACAGACACATCAGCAGGACTTGAGGGTTCTTGGATCAGGAGGATGAGCATAAGGAGGCAGCCCTGAGGAACTTCCCCACCCAGAGCTGATGGGCAGGCACAGCCCCTCTGTGAACCTCGAAGACACCAGCCTCTCATAACTCAGGCAGAGTAAGTAGACTCTGGAATAGCAGAGACCTACACGGGAGCAGAAGGTCCCGTAGGAATGGGTGTCAGGGGAACATCAGGAAGACATTGCAGGGTAGGTAGGGCAGCCACTCACCCCAGCTGCTTTGTAAGCCCCATCTGAGTATTTGGCGACAGCAGTGATGGAGATGACGAAGTAGATGAGGGCAGCAGTGACACAGCGCAGAAAGTCCTGAGGAGAAAGGGACATGGCCAGGCCGTTCTGGCCTCCCACAGTGGGGCACAGCATGGGGACCTGACATGACCAGCCCTAGCGCCCTTGGAGTCCCTGTCTTGGCCCCACCTGCATGCCCTGATCTACTTTCCATATGCTTCCTGTTGTCCCATAGGCTGCCCGCAGCTGACACTGTCCTGTCCCTGGTTCAGCTGGATTGCTGTCCTCTGCCCTCTGGGTAACTGTGTGGACCAGGCTATAGCTTGTTTCATGGCTTGGCCCATTTGGCAGAGATGGAAGTGAGGAACGTGTCACCTGTTCCCTTAGGTTCTCCAACTGGGAGACCTAGCTCTTGGCTTTGTGTTGCCACATTCCTGACTGATTCGTTTATGGCCAGTCTCTGCTTAAGATGGGGCTGCAGCAGAGGCAGCTATCCCTAGGTGGAAACGAGGATGAAGGAGGTGAAGTCAAGAGACCAGGGTTGAGCCTAGCCTTTGCTCTCTTCTCTATGATGCATTTCATCCAGTAAAGACCACTGTTAGGGCTGCAAGGCCCTCAGGTGATCCAACAAGGCCAGGGTTGCCACATATTTGAGGTCTGGGAAGCTTGGTAAGTCCTCAGTTAACCTTCAGGGCTGGAAATGGCTTGAATTCCTGTGGCTGAAGGCACATGCCTCCTCAACTTTGGGTTCGGAGCAACAGCGACACCTGGTGGTCAGGGGCCTTCTCTGGGTTTCCAAGTTCACAGACCAGCTCAGGAGGCCTTACCAGTTGCACCAGGTCCCGCTGTTGCTGGGTTCCAGGAGGGGGGGTGGGGGTCCTGAATTATCAGAAGCCTGCCAGCTGCAAACTGCCCACGATCACGTTGGAGACAGAGGGGCTTTAATGTGGAACTTGAGGTTCCTCAGGTGGCTACTCTGTGAGAGTCATCCTTTTGTCTCTTGGGTCCCCTGAGCCTCACCATCATGGGCCAGCACAAGCCCTGCCACTTGTCATTCAGCTGCATGGCATCAGCGAAGAGGAAGTAGACAGCCAACAGGAACTCCAGCAGAGGTACTGTGAGGAAGGCAGATGCAGAGGATACCACATAGCAGATGAAGGTGATGAACGAGAGACCCTGTGAAAGAACAGTGAGACTCAGATCCTCTTACTGCCCTCAGTCCAGGGCCTGACCCTGATTCCCTACACCTTGCCAAATCCCTGCCAAGACTCCTCTTGAAACCGCAGCCTCCCCAGCACGCCACCTCATAGGACTACTCCCCTCTTCCCCCTAATGGCTCTAGGAAAGAATCCACTCAATTCAGCTGTGTACACCAGGGGGCAAGTCAGAGCTAAACAGCAACCACTTTCAAATGTCACACCTAACACCTAAGACCGGGGCTTTTCATGAATGTAAATTCTACCTGAAAAAAAAAAAAAAAAACCCAATCAAGAACTTCAGTTAATGATACGTATGCTGAAGTGGTTAGAGTTAAAATGTACTAGTGTTGCCGGGCGTGGTGGCACACGCCTTTAGTCCCAGCACGAGGCAGAGGCAGGCGGACCTCTCTGCGTTCAAGGCCAGCCTGATCTACATAGTGAGTTCCAAGACAGCTGGGGCTACAGGGAGACCCTGTCTCAAAAAGACCAAAAAAACAAAAACCAAAAAAACAAACCACACACATTAAAAGTGTTAACTATTGTACGGTTCAGGTGATGGATGCATGAGTGTTGATATGTCTTTCACTCTTGTGCATCTGCAAATCTTCATTTAAAAAAACAAAAACAAAAAAACTACCCGGGGGCTAGGGATGTAGTTCAGTTGGAAGACTGAGTGCCTAGTGTGCATAAAGCCCTGGGTTCCCATCTCTAGCACTGTATAGGCATGGTGATGCACTGATGTACACCTGCAATCCCGGCACTTGGGGGGTGAAGGCAAGTGGATCAGAGGTTCAAAGTTACCCACAGCTATATAGCAACTTTCAAGGCCAGCCTGGGATATATGAGACCCTATCTCAAAAAACAAAAATATAACTATGTTGGAGAGGGTGTGTTGACACTGACACCTGGGGCCCTGCTGCACCATTCAGACAGCCTACGTGAAAGGTGAGGCTAGCTGTACTCAACCTACAGGAAGTATGGCCCACAAGGCTGTAGGTATAGAGGATGCTGATGCCATTGGTTAGTCCTGCAGACTGCCTGCAGTGCAGGGAGAGATGAGGATGATGGCTAGGTCAGTGGCTTTATATGCCAGGTGTTGAGTGTGTGCCTGCTGAGGCCTCTGGGCTTCTCTGCTCTTCCCCACCACCCATGTGCCAGGTGCCACCCATCACCCCTCTTCAAAATGAGCAGACCCCGTCATCCAGCTAATGAAAGGGTATCAGAATGTGCACCCAGGAGGTTTTCATTTTCCCCTGGCTTCTATCACTATGGCTGGAATTGAGCATGTCCATGGCTGAGTAGCTTAAGGGGCCTCAAGGAAAACTTCGATGTCCCACAGGAAACACTATGGCCATTTCAGACAAATGAACTGCAGGAATCTCAGGGGCCCTCCCACCCCTTTCCCTGAACGTGGCCATGGGGGTAGCTCAGCTCCCCTTGGACAGACAGGAAAGACTTTGAGGCTGCCAGGCCACCAGATCCCAATGAACTACTTCCGGTCAAAGACTGCTCTTTGTGCTCCTCCCTTCTCTGTCCCCATCCTCCTCTCATTGAAGTCTGATTCTGGGATTTCCCCCTCTTGATTTCTCATTCACAAATTCTTGGTGGCTACCTGCACCACCACCCCTACACACCTCCGGGTTCTTATCAGTCTCTCCTCTTGCATGGGACTGAGGGTGACTCCCCTGTACGCTGCAGGCCACCCCTTACCCTTTCCTTCTTTTTCTACGCCTGGATTCCGAAAGACTCCAACTCCCATCTTCATAGCCCCTTGTCTGGGCCACCTGTCAAATCCCTTACAAAGTTACAGGTACTTTCGGTCTACCTCATCCCCCAACTCTAAATGGGAACAGGACTGGTATCAAGTTGCTAGGGATCTAAGCAACAAGTTGCGGTCACCAAGGGCTGGTTCCTCCTTTCATCCATTCTCCCTCTGCCTGTCCCATCTCCGGAAGCCCCACGTCAGTCCCCGCCCCACACGCGACAGTGCGGGAGTTATCTTAGTGTCGGGAGGACAAAGGACGTCTGCCCAGCCGGGTGGGGATCAGTGGGGAGGAGGACGGAGCACGGTGGGGGCGGGAAGAGGAAGGGAATGAAGTCACCCAGCTGGCTCGCGACCCTGGGGTCACGGGGCTGCCCGCACCCTCGCAGCGCAAGGGCCTCATCCACTCCTGGGGCACTCGTCCACTCTGCAGGGCCCGGGGGTCCTGGTCATCCGGGCAGGCTGACCTCCGGCGCATCCCCGGCGGCAGGAGGGTTTGCGGAGTGGAACAGGGCGGGATGGGCCAGAAGAAACCGAGCGAGCGCAGCGCAGATCCGGGGCCGGGGAGGGCGGGGGCGCCCGAGGTCACACCGCGGCCTGGCCCGGGCGCCGGCGGAGACCAGGTCCCCCACCGTGTCCCGCGGCCCCTTTGAGGGCCTGGCGGGCGGCGGCTGGCTCGCCGCAGCTCTCCCGGGACCGGGGTCGGGGCTCGGGGCCCGCGCACTCACCGACTCGGCCAGCAGGAGGCGGCCTTTGAGCGAGCAGAGGAAGGCGCGTGCCGGCAGCAGGGCGCGGAGCCCGGACACCGCAGCGCCACGCCGGGAGCCGCCCTCCGGCTCCGGGTCCGGCTCCGACTCTGGGTCGGGGGGCCACATGGCAGCGGCGCAGGCGAGGCTCAGCCTCCCAGCCTCTCACCCCGCGCCCAGGAGGGAAGCGGAAACCCACTGTGCGGAAGGAGGAAAAGTGGAGTTGGACTAGACTCGCGGGGCGCATCCTCCGCTGCCCCGCCCACCCCCATCCTCCCAGCCTCGCCGCCCGCCCCTAGCTCCTCGTCTTCCGCCGTCCTCCAACAGCCACCGTCTTCCTCTACTGCCCCTCAGACCCTACCCCGCCCGTCCCCCTCCTCCATTCTCCCGCCCAACTACCCCTGTGGACCATGCCCCGCCCACCCCCACTCCCACCCCTATCCCTGAACCTCCCATCCCCCACTGCATCTTGGACCCTAGTCCGCATATCCCTTCCCCACAGCCCCTCCAACCATCTCCGCCCCTTTTCCTCCCATTCCCTCATTGCCCTCCCCCTACTGTCCCTACTCCCTCCCCCTCTCCGCTCCGGCCCCCACTGCTTCCTTGGACTTTGCCCCACCCACTCCTGTTGCCCTGTCCCCTTCCCGCTCTGCTCCCCCTCACACACACACTGCCTTTCGGGACCCCCCTTATCCCCCGCCCAGTATTCCCTTTCTGTCCTGTCCCCTCGGATCCCACCCCCACATTTGCCCAGTCCCCTAGGATCCCTGCAGCAGGGTCTGCGCTGGGCGGGACCTGCTGGCCTGGAGTCTTCTTTCCCCATTCTGGCCTCACCGATCCAGTATTACCGCCCCGGAATGCAGCTGCCTCTCTGAACTAACTTTCTGCCCATGCGCGTGACAGATACCTTCCTGCAGCCTCGACGTCTCAACTGTAGAACTCCCCTTACACGTCGTCATGCCCTCCCGTGCCACCGTTCCCCCCTCTCCGCGCCCACCCCGCCTCAGAGTTCCTGGCTCTGCTCTGACCGCGCTGTCAGCTCTCCCTCCATCCCTTCCTCTCAGAGTTTCGCCTCCACTTCCCGGTCCCGTCTTTCCTCGGCTAGCCAGTCCCCCTTCTGGGCCTCCTTGTTGGCAGCCGAGGTTCTGCGGCCCCCTCCCCTAGTCCACATTAGGGGGACTCCTAGACATACAACAGAACCACGGATGGGCTCTTTCTCTCGCTCTCTCGCTCGCTCTCGCTCTCTCGCTCTCGCTCTCTCGCTCTCGCTCTCTCTCTCTCGCTCTCTCGCTCTCGCTCTCGCTCTCTCGCTCGCTCTCGCTCATCCTGTGCCTGAGCTCTGGAGGAGGAGCCTGTCATCTCTCCCCAAGCCCACTAGTCAGAGACCTGGGAACTCTTCTGGTCCTCTCTCACCCCCACCGCCCGGCCCATCCCGGAGGCCCACAGTCTGGCCCTGCTCTCTGCCCACTTTTTATCACCATTAAGTCCCACATCCTGCCCGCTGAACTGTCCTGTGGGCTCTTTAAGAGGCCTCTGCTTTCTCCCTTGTCAGCCATGGACACTTAAATCACCAGTCATGCGGCCCTTCCACTGTACCGCCCCAAAGCACAACCTCTGGGGCTTCCTTGCTCAGCATCTGGTATGGACAGAATATTGGCACCGACCCCCATCCCTCTTTTCCCTTGTCAATTAGCAGCCCTCTTACAAACTAATGCCTCTTGCCACAGAGTCTTTGTAGATGTGACCCTTCTACTATGATGTGCGTGCCCAGGCGAACGTGTGTGTGCACAAGAATGTGTGGGAATGTGGATGGAGGCCAGAGGTAGGTTGATGTCTGGTGTCTTCCTTTATGACTCATTCCCCCCCCCCTTTTTTTTTGGTCTTTTTGAGACAGGGTCTCCCTGTATGTCCTGCTGGCCTGGAACCCACATAAATCCACCTGCCTCTGCCTCCTGCGTGCTGGGATTAAATGTGTGCACCACCACACCCAGCTCATCACCTTATTTTTTGAGACAGAGTCTTTCACTGAACTTGAAGCTCACTGGACTTGCTTGCCTGTCTGTGATCCCCAGGGATTTTCCTGTTTGCCTTCCCAGTACTAAGATTACAGTCTTTGGGGATCTAACTCGGGTCTCTTGGCTTACACTGAATGACCATCTCTCCAACTTCCACTTCTAATTTCTTACCTAATGAAGACCTTTTTATTTTTATTTTTTTGTCTTTTTGAAGCAGGGTCTCCCTGTAGCCCCAGCTATCCTGGAACTCACTATGTAGACCAGGCTGGCCTTGAACTCACAGAGATCTGCCTGCCTCTGCCTCTCAAGTGCTGGGATTACAGGCATGTGCCACCATGCCCGGGTTATGAAGACCTTTTTAAAAAAAGATTATTTTTATTTTATTTATTTTTTAAAATATTTTATGTGCATGAGTGTATTGCCTGCATGTATGTGAATGCACCTGTGTCGTGCAATGTGGCAGAGGTCAGAAGAGGGCTTCAGATTCCCCTGGAACTGGAGTTAAGGACAGTTCGTAGCCACTATGTGGATGCTGGGAATCAAACCCTGGTCCTTTGCCATAGCAGTCAGTGCTCTTAACTGCTGCGCCATCTCTCCAGCCCCAGAAAAGGTGATTTTCGTTTTTTATGTGTATGACTGTTTTGCCTGCATTAAAGGGTTCCTTGTTTGTGCAATGCTGGCAGAGGTCAGAAGAGGGAGTCAGATACCTGAAACTGGAAACTGAATCCCAATCCTCCTCAAGAGCAGCCTGTGCCCAAAACCTCTGAGCCGTCTCTCTAGCACACCCCCTGCCATGCCCCACACCATGAAAACCACCTATTCCACAGTGACCATAGTGCAGTGTGATTTCTCCTCGGAGGCTTTCCCACAATTCATTTGTTCATCCAAAAGCAGGACAAGAAGCACAGGATGTAAAAAAAGTGAAAAGCTACTGGGGGGAGGATGATGAGCCAACAAGAAGAGTCCTGAATGAGATAATGAATCAAGAAGTCTAGGGTGGGAGGACCAGACCCTGGTGCTTAACTTTTACTCCGAATTCCTCAGGAGGACCCACCTCTGATCTAAAAACATGGGTCTAAATTGTTACTAAAACATGGCTCTAAATTGTGACTCAATAATAAAAAAATGGGCCAAAGATTTGAACAGGTGACTCACCAAAGGAGATTGTAAATTAGCACATTAAAGAAAAGGGTGGGGAGCGGCAGCCCACCAGAGAGTGCCTGTTCCCGCCTCCCTTTGGCATTGAGGCTGAGAACTCAGGGGACTGCCTGAGAGCCCCTGATTCGGCCACCACGTGGTGGTGAGCTTCCCCCAATGGTGCCTAACTAGGATTGCATGAGGCCCCTCCCAAGGCCCCTGGGCAGAGCTGGCTTTGGTAAGATAAGGCTGAGATCTTAGCAGACAGCCTGAGAGGGTGGGTTCTGACCTCCATCTGTGTAGCAGCTGGGATCTCAGCAGACCCCCAGAGAGTGCCTGTTCCCGCCTCCTTCTGGCACAGGGGCTGAAAACTCAGCAAACCATCTGTGAGTCCCAAAATCAGCATCCCCTTAGGGATCTTCCCAAATTTTGCTCTGAGTTCCTGCTAGTAGGGGTCCAAACCTTAGAAGGAAGCCTGAGTGTACCTGACTGGAACCTGACTTAGGCTTCTGTGGGTACTCCTGAAGAGCTGATCTGAAGCCATCAGTTCCCTCCAAAATAAAACCTGAGAGAACCTGAACCCTGAACCAACCAGCTTCATATAACCAATAAGAAAAGGACCAAGGCACACCAATAATACAAACAGAAGCATACTTCAACTTAATTCTCATATCAGATTCACAAACAACAAAAGAAATTCACATGCCAAAATCACAATGAAAGAATAATTGAATGGAACGCCAGAACACTATGCCCCCACCAAACTCCACCAGTCCTGTAGAAGAGTTCTACAAGGAGAACTCCCTAGAGATAACCCAGGATACATAATTTAAAAGAACAATCATAAACATAATCAAGGAATTCAACCTGGGTCTTCTGCAAGAACAGTGTTCTTAACTGCTGAGCCATCTCTCCAGCCCCACTATACCAGACCTTAAAAAATACTACAGAGCTATAGTCATGAAAACAGCATGGTACTGGCACAAAAATAGACACCTAGATTAATGGAACATCATTGAAGACCCAAACCTGAGTACACACAATTTTAGCCACCTGATAGTTCACAAAGGTGCCAAGAACACACAATGGAGGAAAGACAACATCTTCAACAAATGGTGCTGGCAAAACTGGATCTCTACCTGTAGAAGAACGAAACTAGATCCTTATCTTTCACTTTGCACAAAAGTCAACTCCGAATGGATCAAAGACCTCATTGTGAAACTGGAAACCCTAAAACTATTAGAAGAAAATATTGGCAGTAACTTACAAGATATAGGTGTAGGAAAGGATTTTCTAAAACAGACAGCAGTTGCTCAGGAATTAAGGTCAGCAATCAATAAGTGGAACCTCATTAAACTAAAAAGCTTCTGTACAGCAAAAGAAACAATCAAAAAAGTGAAGAGAAAACCCACACAGAGTGGGAAAAAAATCTTCACCAGTGACACATCTGACAGAGGTTTAACATACAGAATATATAAAGAACTCAAAAAACAAAGAAGCGAGAAACCAAATGACCCAATTAAAAGATGGGCTAAAGACCTAAACAGGGAGTTCTCAAAGGAAGAAATAAAGATGGTTAAGAAACATCTCAAAAGTGTTCAACCTTATTAGTAATTGGGGAAATGCAAATTAAAATCACCCTAAGGTATCACCTTACCCCAACCAGACTGGCTAGGATCAAGAGAACAAATGATACCAAATGCTGGTGAGGATGTGGAGAAAGGGGAACGCTCATTCACTGCTAGTGGGATTGCAAACTTGTGCAACCCCTGTTGAAAACAGTGTGGAGAACTCTTAAAAAACTAAAAATGAACCTACCATATGACCAGGTTATACCACTCCTTGGCAAATACCGAAAGGACTTATCCTATGATAGATATGCTTGTACAACCATGTTTGGTGCTGCTCTTTTCACAATAGCTAAGAGATGAAAGCAACCTAAGTGCACCTCACCTGACAAGTGGTTAACAAAAACATGGTATATTTACACAATGGCATCCTATTCAGCAGTAAAAAAAAAAAAAAAAAAAAAAAAAAAAAAAAAAAAAAAAGGTTTTATTAAGCCAGGTGTGGTGGCTCATGCCTTTAATCCCAGCACTTGGGAGGCAGAGGCAGGCAGATCTCTGTGAGTTCAAGACCGGCCTGGTCTACAAATAACTACCATCATCACGACTTCAGCTGAGCCTGATCACTAAACATCTTCACAATTGGGCTTGTTGACGGTTGTGCTCATTCATTAAAGGAGGGGCAGACAGGGTTATTGGACCCTCACCAGAGTATCCGGCCACTCTTCCCAGGCAACTGTATGTAACTTGGCCCTACTCACACATGGTCTCCTAGATTTGGGGAGGGCTAAAGTATACAATCTGGGAAAGGCTAGAAAGAGAAGGCATGACCCATGCTGGGTAAAGGCTTTCCAGTGTGCATACCCTCAGGTCATTCATATACTTTGGCAACCCCTCGATTATCTCTGTAAGTAAGCTCAGTAAATTCATTGGTTCCCCAGTAAAACTTTAATCAAACATTGGTTTGATACTAGAACCTTAAAAGGGAATAAATATTGCTCAGTATCCCAAGGAAAAGAATTCTTACAACAGATGGAAAATTTGTTAATGTTATTGTTATAATTACTAAAATAAAAGAAAATGAGAATGTAAAAGGTGTTAAAAGGATATAGGGATGGAGATATTTTCCAAAATAGAAAAAAACGAGGAAGCCTAAGCAAGTGATAAAGGTTTGTTATGATATGTAAAGGATGAGACAAAAATAATATACACATAATCTTAGAATTTTTAAAGTCATAGTTTAGTCAACTAGTTTAAGGAACAAAATATATATCTAGTCAAAGTTTATCTGAGAACATTTGGTTTTTTTACCCAAGCTTTTAACACCTTTTACATTCTCATTTTCTTTAAAAAAAAACAATTTTGAGACATAATAGCATTAACAAATAAATTTTTCATCTGTTGTGAGACTTCTTTTCAAGGTTCTAGTGTTGGGCCAATGTTTGA